TTCTCTCCTTTTTTCCCTTTTCCCCCTCTTTTCTCTCCTTTTTTCCCTTTTCCCCCTCTTTCCCCCCCTCCTTTCCCCATTTCTCCCCCGGCACCTTTTCCCGGCTGGATCCCGGTGCCACCCAGCCGTGGTGGTGGCCTTGGGGACAATGCCAGCACTGCCACCTCCCCAGGCCACCAACATCGTTCCCCTGACCCCGATGTCCCTGGTGGCCCCGGAAGAGGCGGAGAAGAAGGAAAATCCCCTCCTGAGGTGCCACTCCTGAGTGTCCCCATCCCCTGGTGGCATTGTCCTGTGTCCTGTGTCCTGTGTCCCCTGTTCTAACTGGGATTGTCCCTGTCCCCATCCCTGATCCAGCTGGGATTGTCCCTGTCCCCATTCCCTGGAGGCATTGTCCTGTGTCCCTGTCCCCATCCCTGATCCAACTGGGATTGTCCCTGTCCCCTGTTCCAACTGGGATTGTCCCTGTCCCCATCCCCTGGTGGCATTGTCCTGTGTCCTGTGTCCTGTGTCCCCTGTTCTAACTGGGATTGTCCCTGTCCCCATCCCTGATCCAGCTGGGATTGTCCCTGTCCCCATTCCCTGGAGGCATTGTCCTGTGTCCCTGTCCCCATCCCTGATCCAACTGGGATTGTCCCTGTCCCCTGTTCCAACTGGGATTGTCCCTGTCCCCATCCCCTGGTGGCATTGTCCTGTGTCCTGTGTCCTGTGTCCCCTGATCCAGCTGGGATTGTCCCTGTCCCCTGATCCAACTGGGATTGTCCCTGTCCCCATCCCCTGGTGGCATTGTCCTGTGTCCTGTGTCCCTGTCCCCTGATCCAACTGGGATTGTCCCTGTCCTGTGTCCCCTGATCCAGCTGGGATTGTCCCTGTCCCCATCCCTGCTCGGGTCCCTGGTGGCATTGTCCTGTGTCCTGTGTCCCCTGTTCCAGCTGGGATTGTCCCTTGTCCCTGGGATGTCCATTAGGGATGGGCTGGGGACCTCGGGGACAGACTGGGGACCTTTGGGACGGGATGGGGACATTTGGGACAGGATGGGGACATTGGGGACAGTCTGGGGACAGGCTAGGGACAGGCTGGGGACCTTTGGGATGGGCTGGGGGATTTGGGGACAGTCTGGGGACATTGGGGATGGGCTGGGGACCTCGGGGACAGTCTGGGGACAGGCTGGGGACAGTGTGGGGACATTGGGGACAGTCTGGGGATGTTGGGGACAGTCTGGGGACCTTGGGGATGTGCTGGGGACCTTGGGGACAGTGTGGGGACCTTGGGGACAGTGTGGGGACGTTGGGGACAGTCTGGGGACATTGGGGACAGTCTGGGGACCTTGGGGACAGGCTGGGGACCTTGGGGATGGGCTGGGGACGTTTGGGCTGGGCTGGGGACATTGGGGACAGACTGGGGACCTTGGGGATGGGCTGGGGACGTTGGGGCTGGGCTGGGGACCTTGGGGACAGTCTGGGGACATTGGGGACAGACTGGGGACCTTGGGGACAGTGTGGGGACCTTGGGGATATGCTGGGGACATTGGGGCTGGGCTGGGGACGTTGGGGCTGGGCTGGGGACATTGGGGACAGCGTGGGGACCTTTGGGACGGGATGGGGACATTTGGGACAGGATGGGGACATTGGGGACAGTCCGGGGACCTTGGGGACAGACTGGGGACCTTGGGGATGTGCTGGGGACCTTGGGGACAGTGTGGGTACGTTGGGGACAGTGTGGGGACGTTGGGGACAGTGTGGGGACCTTGTGGACAGACTGGGGACCTTGGGGACAGTGTGGGGACATTGGGGCTGGGCTGGGGACGTTGGGGACAGTGTGGGGACCTTGGGGATGTGCTGGGGACATTGGGGCTGGGCTGGGGACGTTGGGGCTGGGCTGGGGACATTGGGGACAGTCTGGGGACCTTGGGGACAGTGGGGACATCGGGGACAGTCTGGGGACATTGGGGACAGCGTGGGGACGTCGGGGACAGCGTGGGGACATTGGGGACAGCGTGGGGACATTGGGGACAGTGTGGGGACATTGGGGACAGTGTGGGGACCTTGGGGGCTGGGCTGGGGACATTGGGGACAGTCTGGGGACATTTGGGACAGGATGGGGACATTGGGGACAGTCTGGGGATGTCGGGGACAGCGTGGGGACGTTGGGGACAGTGTGGGGACATTGGGGACAGCGTGGGGACGTCGGAGACAGCGTGGGGACGTCGGGGACAGTCTGGGGACATTGGGGACAGCGTGGGGACATTGGGGACAGTGTGGGGACATCGGGGACAGTGTGGGGACATTGGGGACAGCGTGGGGACCTTGGGGACAGTCTGGGGATGTCGGGGACAGCGTGGGGACGTTGGGGACAGCGTGGGGACATTGGGGACAGTGTGGGGACGTCGGGGACAGCGTGGGGACGTCGGGGACAGCGTGGGGACACTTCCCTGCGCGCATTCCCGCAGCCGGAGGGGCGAGGTGCTGGCGAGCCGGCGGGATTTCCGCATGAACACCTGCACCCTGCACGGCTCCGGAACCTTCCTGCTGGAGCTGGCCCGGCTGTCCCCGAGCCACCTGCGGGAGCAGCGCCTGGGGACACTCCCAGGTACCGGGGGGCTCTGCGCTGGCACCTGCCCGCTGGCACTGCCCCGTGTCACCGTGTCACCGTGTCACCGTGTCACTGTGTGCTGTGTCATTGTGTTATTGTGTCAGTGTGTGCTGTGTCATTGTGTCAGTGTGTGCTGTGTCATTGTGTCACTGTGTCACCGTGTCACCGTGTCATTGTGTGCTGTGTCATTGTGTCACCATGTCACTGTGTCACGGTGTCATTGTGTCATTGTGTGCTGTGTCATTGTGTCATTGTGTCAGTGTGTGCTGTGTCATTGTGTCACCGTGTCATTGTGTTATTGTGTCATTGTGTTATTGTGTCACTGTGTGCTGTGTCACTGTGTCACCGTGTCACCGTGTCACCGTGTCACCGTGTCACCGTGTCACCGTGTCACCGTGTCACCGTGTCACCGTGTCACCGTGTCACCGTGTCACCGTGTCACCGTGTCACCGTGTCACCGTGTCACCGTGTCACCGTGTCACCGTGTCACCGTGTCACCGTGTCACCGTGTCACCGTGTCACCGTGTCACCGTGTCACCGTGTCACCGTGTCACCGTGTCACCGTGTCACCGTGTCACCGTGTCACCGTGTCACCGTGTCACCGTGTCACCGTGTCACCGTGTCACCGTGTCACCGTGTCACCGTGTCACCGTGTCACCGTGTCACCGTGTCACCGTGTCACCGTGTCACCGTGTCACCGTGTCACCGTGTCACCGTGTCACCGTGTCACCGTGTCACCGTGTCACCGTGTCACCGTGTCACCGTGTCACCGTGTCACCGTGTCACCGTGTCACCGTGTCACCGTGTCACCGTGTCACCGTGTCACCGTGTCACCGTGTCACCGTGTCACCGTGTCACCGTGTCACCGTGTCACCGTGTCACCGTGTCACCGTGTCACCGTGTCACCGTGTCACCGTGTCACCGTGTCACCGTGTCACCGTGTCACCGTGTCACCGTGTCACCGTGTCACCGTGTCACCGTGTCACCGTGTCACCGTGTCACCGTGTCACCGTGTCACCGTGTCACCGTGTCACCGTGTCACCGTGTCACCGTGTCACCGTGTCACCGTGTCACCGTGTCACCGTGTCACCGTGTCACCGTGTCACCGTGTCACCGTGTCACCGTGTCACCGTGTCACCGTGTCACCGTGTCACCGTGTCACCGTGTCACCGTGTCACCGTGTCACCGTGTCACCGTGTCACCGTGTCACCGTGTCACCGTGTCACCGTGTCACCGTGTCACCGTGTCACCGTGTCACCGTGTCATTGGGTTATTGTGTCATTGTGTCACTGTGTGCTGTGTCACTGTGCTGTCACTGTGTCATTGTGTCACTGTGTCATTGTGTGCTGTGTCACCGTGTCACTGCGTCACTGTGTCATTGTGTCACTATGTCACTGTGTCACTGTGTCACTGTGTGCTGTGTCACTGTGTCACTGTGTCACTATGTCACTGTGTCACTATGTCACTGTGTCACTGTGTCACTGTGTGCTGTGTCACTATGTCACTGTGTCACTGTCACTGTGTGCTGTGTCACTGTGTCACTGTGTCACTGTGTCACTGTGTGCTGTGTCACTGTGTCACTGTGTGCTGTGTCACTGTGTCACTATGTCACTGTGTCACTGTCACTGTGTGCTGTGTCACTGTGTCACTATGTCACTGTGTCACTGTGTCACTATGTCACTGTGTCACTGTGTCACTGTGTGCTGTGTCACTGTGTGCTGTGTCACTGTGTCACTGTGTTATTGTGTACTGTGTCATTGTGTCATTGTGTCACTGTGTCACTGTCATTGTGTCACTGTCACTCTGTCACCGTGTCACCGTGTCATTGTGTCACTGTGTCACCGTGTCACCGTGTCACCGTGTCACCGTGTCACCGCAGAGCCAGCAGGACCCGGCCACCAGCAGCCACCGAGCACCAGCGCGTCACCTGTGAGGGCACTGAGCTTCTCCCAGGAGCCAGGTGAGGGTGACAGGAGGGGTGACAGGAGGGCTGACAGCTGTCCAGGTGAGGGGTGACACCTGCCCAGGTGAGGGCTGACAGCTGTCCAGGTGAGGGGTGACACCTGCCCAGGTGAGGGGTGACAGGAGGGGTGACACCTGCCCAGGTGAGGGGTGACAGGAGGGCTGACACCTGTCCAGGTGAGGGGTGACAGGAGGGGTGACACCTGCCCAGGTGAGGGGTGACAGGAGGGCTGACACCTGTCCAGGTGAGGGGTGACAGGAGGGCTGACACCTGTCCAGGTGAGGGGTGACAGGAGGGGTGACACCTGCCCAGGTGAGGGGTGACAGGAGGGGTGACACCTGTCCAGGTGAGGGGTGACAGGAGGGCTGACACCTGTCCAGGTGAGGGGTGACAGGAGGGTTGACACCTGCCCAGGTGAGGGGTGACAGGAGGGGTGACACCTGCCCAGGTGAGGGTGACACCTGTCCAGGTGAGGGGTGACAGGAGCAGATTTAATGATGTCCCTGGAGGGATTTAATGAATTCCCTGAGGTTTTGATGTCCCTGAGAATTTGATGATGTCCCCGTGGATTTGATGAATTCCCTGGATGGATTTAATGATGTCCCCATGGGTTTGATGTCCCTTTAACGATGTCCCCCTGGACTTGATGTCCCTTTAACGATGTCCCCATGGATTTAACGATGTCCCCCTGGATTTGCTGTCCCCCTGGATTCGATGTCCCTTTAATGATGTCCCCCTGGATTTGCTGTCCCTTTAATGATGTCCCCATGGATTTAACGATGTCCCCGTGGATTTGATGTCCCCATGGATTTGATGTCCCTTTGATGATGTCCCCATGGGTTTGATGTCCCTTTAATGATGTCCCCATGGATTTAATGATGTCCCCATGGATTTAACCATGTCCCCCTGGATTTGATGTCCCTTTAATGATGTCCCCATGGATTTAACGATGTCCCCATGGATTTGGTGTCCCCCTGGATTTGCTGTCCCCATGGATTTGCTGTCCCCCTGGATTTGACGATGTCCCCCTGGCTGTGGCTCTCGGGCCCAGGGCAGTGCTGGCATCTCTCGGATTTGGGATTTTCCAGCCCCAGCAGCTCCCTCATTCCCCTCATTTCCCTCTGCTGCCCTTGGCCCCGGCAGGAGACGCTCCCGGGGGGTTCCTGGGGTGACAGGGTGGGAATGGGGGGGTTCTGGAAGCTTCTCCAGCCCCGTTCCGTTCCCACCCCCGCAGGGGCTGCGGGCTCTGACGGTGACGACGCTCCCGAGGCCCCGGGGGACGACATGGAAGTGACTCCGGTCCCCAGCGAGCACATCGAGGCTCAGAGGGTCTGTGTGGGGCTGGGGGGATCCCTGTGCCCTTCCCTGGATCCCCAGATCCCTTCCCTGGATCCCCAATTCCATCCCTGGATCCCCAAATCCTTCCCTGGATCCCCAAATCCATCCCTGGATCCCCAGATCCTTCCCTGGATCCCTGTGCCCTTCCCTGGATCCCCAGATCATTCCCTGGATCCCCAAATCCCTTCCCTGGATCCCCAAATCCATCCCTGGGTCCCCAAATCCATCCCTGGATCCCCAGATCCCTTCCCTGGGTCCCCAATTCCATCCCTGGATCCCCAAATCCATCCCTGGGTCCCCAAATCCTTCCCTGGATCCCCAAATCCCTTCCCTGGGTCCCCAAATCCATCCCTGA